GGCAGCCCGGGGCGGGGGGGGGGGGAGCCGGGGAAGGCCCCCACCCTCCGTCTCTAACTGTGGGAGGGGGTGGGGCCTCCCACAGCTGTTTCTGTTTCCAAAGAATGTGCAGGGTCCCGCTGCCGGCCGGGGGAGGGGCTGGGCTGCGGCCCCGGAGTCTGGCTGCCGCCCCCTCCCCACTTCCCATCTGGGGAGGGGGCAGCCGAGGTCAGCAGCAGAGAGAGCCCCCTCCCCCGCCACCGCGGCTCAGGTTTCCCCAAACGGGAAGCTCTGACCACACACACAGGCTCGGGGATGGGCTCTGCGGGCTGGGGGGAGGGGAGAGGAGGGCCCGAGACGGACGTGGGGCAGAGATGCGAGCAGGGCGGACCCGCGAGAGCGAGCCGGGATGGAGAGGCAGAGTGTGGCGCGGGGAAGACAGAGTCCCGAAGCCCCGGCAGCAGCCGGGAGAGGGAGGCAGGGTGCTGCTCTGACATCGTGCTGCAGACCCCGCTCCTCTCCCACCGTGCGAGCCGGGCTCAGCCGGCGGCCCCGGGTGGCTCCCGGGAGGGCTGGCACCAGGTAGGAAGGAGGGCAAGCGACGCCCGGGGGTCAGGATCCCCCCAGCAGGGAGCCCTCCCCCCACCGCGCCCCCTGCGGAGATCTCCAAGCGCACGGGGACTTGGGGAAGATGGAACCCCGGGAGTGCGGGCCGAGCGGGGCTTGTCGGACGCCGGCTGTGTGACCTTGGGCCAGTCGCTTCCTCTCTCTGAGCCTCAGTTCCCGGCTCCGTAAAATGGGGACTATCACCCCCCCCCCCAGCTCCTCAGCTGCACGAAGTGCTCGAACCAGGGCCTGGCACATCCCTGGCGCCCAAGGATCTTTTGGGGGTAGTGGTGGTTGGGGAGCAGCGAATGGGGCCTAACAGCTCCCCAGGCCCCGGCGACGGCCGATCTGGGGGCGGGGAGGCCGGGTCCCGCCCGCCGCCCCGACTCTGGGCTCTCCAGCCCTACCCGTTGTCCTCCCTCCTCCCCACCCCCCCAACCCGGGACCGGTGTCCGAGCATCCAACCGAGACAGACAGACGGACGGACGGACAGGCACAGACGGGGGTGGAGGCAGGGACGGACGGACAGGCGGCCCCTCACCAGCTGCTCCTCCAGGGCCGCCGCGGCCCGGCGCGCCGCCGCGGCATCTTCGTCCTCGTCGGCGTCCTCCTCGTCCTCGGCTTCGGCGCCCCCCATTCCGGGCTGGGCCAGCCGCAGCGCCTGCTGCACGCGGTACTCCTGCCTCTCCCGGAGCCAATGCAACTCACAGAGCCCGGCCAGGCTGCCCTCCAGCCAGCCCCGCAGCCGGCCCCGCTCGGGGCTCACCGGGAACGAGAAGGCCCGGATCATGGCTGCGGCCCCCCGCCCCAGCCCGGCCGGGCCCCGCGGCCACCCCTCTCCCGGTCCCACCTCCCCGCCCCAGCAGCCCGCCTGCCCGCTCGCCCGCCCGCCCGCCCGCTGGCCGGGCTGTCACCGTCTCATCTGCATAGGCGCCCGCCCATTGGGCCGCCCACCCGCGCCTTATCTACATGGCCACGCCTCTAGCGGCCGAGCAACCGCCGCCTATTGGCCAGCTCTCTTCCTTACGAGGACGGTCGGCGGTGCGCCCCGCGCCGCCCAGCACGACGCATGCTCGCAGCTACCCACTCGCTCGGCAGACGAGCTGGCTCGACACGCCCCCCTGCGCGCCGGCCTTTTGGGCTACGGCCACGCCCCCTGCGCGTCACAATGAAACAAGTCCGCCCTTGCTCCAGTGCCATTGGTCCGTGCGACCCCGGTTCCGCAGCTGGTTCCGCCCCCTTGCGGGCGAGCTCCGGCTACCATTGGGCGGTCTGGCTGGAGGGGTGTGGTGATTTATAAATAGAGACTGGGTCCACGTGACAGGTTGGCAGCTGCTGCCAGTCTTTCCTCGCTAACGAGGCTGCGCAGAGGGAGAACCGGGTGAGAGGGTCGAGTGCTGATTTCGCCTCCTCTTCCAGGAAGCCTGCCCGGGCCGGCGGCTGAAAAACCAGACGGGCATGCTCCGATAAAATGACCCCTCTGAGTGCAGCCGGCTGCGCGGGCAGGGGGCTCCCTCAGCAAGGTGCTGCCATGGTTGTCTGGTGTATCGAGGGCCAGGGGCCCAGCAGATGGTGGCTTGCCTCTAAGAGTCCGAACCCTGGGATGGAAGGTCCGACCAGCGCCGAATGTGAGCGCCTTTTGTCCCCGGTCCACGCGCCCAGGGCCTTTGTCCGCGGCTGTGAGGGCCATTGTTCCCGCTGGCCCGGCGGGGATGCTCGGTTCCCGTCCCTGGGCCTCTGTGAGCTTCGCGGGGGGCCGGAGCCTGGACAGAAGGCGGCCGCTCCAAACGCACACTTGCACGCCAGCGCGGCCACGTGTCAGCTGTGCAGCCCTGGCAAACAGACGGGAGCCGCTCCGTGCCTCAGTTTCTCCATCTGCACAGTGGGACCATGATGCTTCTGCCTCGCAGAGTCGTTCTGTCCGAGGATCACGTCCTAGGGGCAGTGTCTTCCGGGCCTAAGGATACACAAGATTTGATAAATAAGTAAACTACTACTACTGATCTAGTGAGTGCTAAGGAGAAGAACGAAGTGGACTTTGGTGGACACTGACCTTATCCGTCCCTCCACCTGCAGACGGACCTAGAGGGTCTCTGCTGTCCACTAACAGGGAGAAAACCAGAGATGGATGAGGGGGCAGTGTTGCAGGCTGGCGGGAAAAGCCAGAGCAGCTCTATGGGCACCTGTTGGGGTCCTGGCTGCTCCTCTTCCGATCCAGCTCTCTGCTGTGGCTTGGAATAGCAGTAGAAGATGGCCCAAGTCCTTGGGCCCCTGCACCCACGTGGGAGACCCGGACGAAGCTCCTGGCTCCTGGCTTCTGATTGGCCCAGCCCTGGCCTTTGCGGCCATCTGGGGAGGGACCTAGCAGGTGGAAGATCTGTCTCTCCCTCTCCCTCTCTCTGTATATATAACATTTTCAAACAAATAAACCTTAAAAAAAAATAAAATAAACAAAGCCCTGTCTTTGAAAGGCAGGGCAGCAGAGAGAGAGATGATAGCCGCAGATAATCTTCCATCTGCACGGTCACTCCCCAAGTGGTCTCAGTGGCCAGGTCGAAGCACAGGAGGCAGAAGCTGCATCCAGGCCTCCCGCTGGGTGGCAGAGGCCCGGGCACTTGGGCCGTCTACTGCTGTCTTCCCAGGTGCGTGAGCAGGGCGCTGGCCGGGACGCCAGGACTGGCACAGGCGCTCCGATGTCGGGTGGCGGCATCGCAGGCGGCGGCTCCGCCCACTGGCCCAGACCTCTCTCCTCTCCCCGTGTGGAGTCCAGTGCGGGCAGGGCTGGCTTCCTGCGAGGCCTCCCCAGCTCGGTTTGGCCAACGGCTGCCTCCCGGCCGCGTCCTCACCCCGTTTCCCCTCTGTGTGCACTCGAGGCCCTGTCCCTGAGGTCCCCTGATACCAGGGGTTAGGACTTCAACAATACAGTTGGGAGGTGAGAAGGCGGCTGTTGAGACCCCAGCAAGGGGGACGCTGCCTCGTCCCGGGGGAGGCGCAGGGCTGGGGTCTTGGGCGAGGGTAAGTTCCATTCTTCAGCACCCTTGGCAAGCTTCTGTCTGATGTCTACTGGGTCCGCCCAGCTTTCCCTGAGGACGGCTGGCGTGGCTGATCTGTGTGAGCTGGGCGCATCCGCTGCTTGCCCTGGGTTACGGTGCCTGTGTCCAGGTAGGGAAGATTCTAGCAAAACGCTGGCGGCGGCCCATGCGCGTGGGAAAGCGTCGAATCATGGAGAAAGTATGCAGGTTGTCGTTAGCCTGCAATCCTACCCGTGGGGTTTCGGAGGCTGAATGACGTCATTTTTGCCCGTGCACAAATGGGCCTGCAGGAACCTGTCTGCTCGCTTGCCCCAGTGGCCCAGACCTGTGTGTTTGGCCGACGGAGGTCACTTGTTCAAGATAAGGGTTGAAGCTTCCTCTCTTCTTTGATTAATTGATTTAGTTGGAAGGCAGAGTTACAGAAAGAGAGATTGATCTTCCATCCACTGGTTCACTCCCCAGATGCCCACAACATTCAGGGCTGGGCCAGGCCAAAGCCGGGAGCCAGGAGCTTCTTCCAGGTCTCCAGTGGAGGTGCAGGGGCCCAAGCACTTGGGCCATCTTCCACTGCTTTCCCAGGCCACAGCAGAGAGCTGGATCAGAAGTAGAGCAGCCAGGACGGAAGTGAACCAGTGGATGGTAAAGCTGCCACCTGCAGTGCCTCTCTCTGTGTAACTCTTGTTCAAGTCCTGGCTGCTTCACTTCCAATCCAGCTCTCTGCTGTGGCCTGGGAAAGCAGTGGAAGATGGCCCAAGTCCTTGGGCCCCTGCACCCACGTGGGAGACCCTGGCTTCGGATCGGCACAGCTCCAGCCATTGCAGCCAATTGGGAAGTGAACCAGTGGATGGAAGATCTCTCTCTCTCCCTCTCTCTCTCTGTGTAACTCTTTCAAATAAATAAATAAATAAATCTTAAACAAACAAACAAACAAACAAAGTAGAGCGGCCGGGACTGGAACAGGCACCACGGGCAGCTTACCCCGCTGCACCACAGCACCAGCCCCCGATGTGGCCATCTTCTGATAGAGATACCTGTCATACTGGCTGAGGGGCCACCCGATGCCAGCGGGACCCTATCTTTGCTATGTGCATCTGCGAGGGCCCTGTTTTTATAGAAGGCCCTGGGGACATCACTGTACCCTTTGGGGACATAAAACCCAGCCAGGACCAGCCCGGCACCAGCAGAGTTGCCTGCTGGTTCTGGATGAAGGGAAGCCGGTGACGATGCCCACGCCTCCTGTGGGTAGGGTTCCGCCTGCCGGCAACGGGCTCTTCCTGAGTGGCAGACCTGGGAGCTGGCAGTTGTAACGCATCCTCAGGCCCGTGGCCTTCATGAGCAAGGGCACGGGGCCCTTAGCGGGCCAGTGCATGCGTGCTGGCGTGGCCCGAGCAGGAGCAGGCATAGCCTTGCCCACCCACATCCTGGTGTGGAGGGGACAGCAGGGAAAACCAACGCTCAGGATCGCCGCTTGTGACACCCCCATCCCATACGGGCACTGGTTCAAGTCCTGGCTGCTCCTCTTCCAATCCAGCTCTCTGCTGTGGCCTGGGAAAGTGGTGGAAGATGGCCCAAGTCCTTGGGCTCCTGCATTGGTGTGGGAGACCCAGAGGAAGCTCCTGGTTCCTGGCTTCAGATTGGCACATCTCCGGCCGTTGCGGCCATTTGTGGAGTGAACCAGTGGATGGAACACTTCTCTCTCTGCCTTTCATATAGTTAAGTACATCTTTAAATTTTTTAAAAAAATTTAAGGCCGGCGCCGCGGCTCACTAGGCTAATACTCCGCCTAGCGGCGCTGGCACACCGGGTTCTAGTCCCGGTCGGGCTGCCGGATTCTGTCCCGGTTGCCCCTCTTCCAGGCCAGCTCTCTGCTGTGGCCAGGGAGGACAGTGGAGGATGGCCCAAGTGCTTGAAGCCGGCGCTGTGGCTCAATAGGCTAATCCTCCACCTTGCGGCGCCGGCACACCGGGTTCTAGTCCCGGTCGGGGCACCGGATTCTGTCCCGGTTGCCCCTCTTCCAGGCCAGCTCTCTGCTATGGCCAGGGAGTGCAGTGGAGGATGGCCCAGGTGCTTGGGCCCTGCACCCCATGGGAGACCAGGAAAAGCACCTGGATCCTGGCTCCTGCCATCGGATCAGCGCGGTGCGCCGGCTGCAGCGGCGGCCATTGGAGGGTGAACCAACGGCAAAGGAAGACCTTTCTCCCTCTGTCTCTCTCTCTCACTGTCCACTCTGCCTGTCAAAAATAAAAAAATAAATAAATAAATAAAATAAAATAAAAATTAAAAAAAAAATTTAAAGTCACAGTTAAAGAGAGCGCGCTTCTATTCACTGCTTCACTCCCCAAATGCCCACCGTGGCTGTGACAGGGTCAGGCTGAAGCCAGGACTCAACCTGGGTCTCCCACGTGGGTGGCAAGGGTCTGCATTAGCGCGAGGCTGGAATCGGGAGCCGAGCTGGGACTAAGACCCAGGCACTCTGATAAGGGCTGCGGGTGTCCCAACTGGTGTTTTAACCACTGTGTCAATCCCTCTCCGGCACATCTTGAAGATGTGGGTCTGTGGCGAGCTGGGTGTTTCAGGGAGGGGTGCATTTTACACCGGCTGAGAGCTGCAGTTCCGGGCCCGACCAGCAGGGGGACAAGCGCCCGGAGAGGAAGCTCCCAGCAGGTGGCTTAAGGCGGCTGCAGGAGTCCGGCTTCTAGGGATGACCAAGGTGAAAGAAGGAACTAGTTCAGACGCGTGCGCCCAGGCTGCTTGCTGCCGCGCCCCGCCCTGCGCACGGTGGGTCAGCACGGTGTGCGGGATTCATGAGTCGCGGTAACACAGCCAATATAAACCCGTCCAGGCAGGCGCCGGCACCCCGTGCGTGGCTGGGTTCGAGGGCCAGCTCCGCTCCTGTGGTTGCAGCTTCCCGCGCGTGTGCATTCTGGGAGGCAGCAGATGGTGGTTGAATAACGGGGCTCCCGCCGCCCACGTGGGAGACCTGCATTGCTGGCTGCTGGCTGTGGCGGGGCCCAGCACCAGCTGTTGGTGGGCATTGGGGGAAGGAACCGGAAATGGAGGCTCTGTCTGTCTTTAAGAAAGATAACCAT